TCTCTTCCCCCGCCCCCTCCCTATCCCCCCCCCCTCTCTCTCTCCCCCCCCACCACACCCCCACCAGAGGTGAGAGCTGATGAGACGCCTGCGGTGGAGGCCGTGTTAAAGGCCGACACAAAACGCCTGAAGCTGTTGGAGGAGGAGAGGCAGCTCCAGGGGCTGCTGGAACGTGGGGACGACCGAGCGGGAGACAGACTGCAGAAGGTCAGTGCGGGCAGAGTGGGGGGGGGGAGAGAGAGAGGGGGAGAGTGTGTAAATGCGAGTTGTTGTTGTCGTGGCTGTTGACACTCTCTCTGTTTCTCACTCTCCCTCTCCCCCACCACAGGTGTATGAGGAGCTGAGAGCCTCTGGGGCAGCCTCGGCGGAGGCCAAGGCGAGGAGGATCCTGGCCGGTCTGGGCTTCAACCCCGAGATGCAGAACCGGCAAACCAGGAAGTTCTCAGGGGGCTGGAGGATGAGGGTCTCACTCGCCAGGTAACGGGGCGGTGGGTGGTGGGGGTGGTGTGAGAGCCGGGGCTGATCACTGTGTGTGTGAGAGAGCCGGAGCTGATCACTCTGTGTGTGTGTGTGTGTGTGTGTGTGTGTGAGAGAGAGAGCCGGAGCTGATCACTGTGTGTGTGTGTGAGAGAGAGAGCCGGAGCTGATCACTGTGTGTGTGTGTGTGAGAAAGAGAGCCGGAGCTGATCACTGTGTGTGTGTGTGTGTGTGTGTGTGTGTGAGAGAGAGCCGGAGCTGATCACTCTGTGTGTGTGTGTGTGTGTGTGTGTGTGAGAGAGAGCCGGAGCTGATCACTCTGTGTGTGTGTGTGTGTGTGTGTGTGTGAGAGAGCCGGAGCTGATCTCTCTCTCTCTCTCTCTCTCAGAGCCCTGTTTATGGAGCCCACATTACTGATGTTGGATGAACCCACAAACCACTTGGATCTCAACGCTGTCATCTGGCTCAACAAGTGAGTGTGTCACTGGGGCTCACTGCGCCCTCACTCTCGCTCTCCCTCTGTTTCTTTCCTTATCTCATTCTCTCTCTCTCTCTCTCTGTTTCATCTCTCTCTCCCCCTCTCTCTGTTTCTGTCTCATTTTCTTTCTCTCCCCCTCTCTCTGTTTCTCTCTCCATCGCACTCCCCCTCTCCGTCTCTCTCTGTGGGTGTATGTGTGTCTCTTTCTCTCTTCCCCTCTCTGAACCTGACTCTCTCTCCCTCTCTCCCTCCCTCCTCTCCCCGCGCCCCTCTCTCTTTGACAGTTACCTGCAGAGCTGGAAGAAGACCCTTCTCATCGTGTCCCACGACCAGGGTTTTCTTGACGACGTGTGTTCAGACATCATCCACCTGGACAATCAGAGGCTTTACTACTACAGGGGCAACTACAGTGAGTGTCCCCCCAACCCCCCCCCATACACACTCACCACGCACCCCCTATACGTGTGTAACTGCCGTGTTTGCTGTGGGTGTGTTGCTGTGTGTGGAGGAGGATGCGTGTGCGTGCGTGCGTGCGTGTGTGTGACAGCCGTGTTTGTTGTATGTTACAGACAGCTTTAAGAAGATGTATCAGCAGAAGCAGAAGGAGCTGCTCAAACTGTACGAGAAACAGGAGAAGCGACTGAAAGACCTGAAGGCTGGCGGCAAATCAACCAAACAGGCGGTGAGTGAGGAGTGGGGGGGAAGGGGGAGGGGAGGGGGGAGAGAGAGGGCGGAAAGAGGGGAGGGGAGGTGAGGGGGTGAGGGAGGGGGTGGAGAGAGCGCGGGGAGATGTCTCAGTAATAATAATAATCCTGGCATTTGACCCGGGGCCTTGTCATGTCTTCGAGACGTCTCAAAGCGCTTCCCAGGACACACTGTGTAAAGTGTAGTGACTGTGTGTGTGTGTTTACAGGGAGGTGTAGTGACTGTGTGCGCGCAGGGAGCTGTAGTGACTGTGTTGTTTTTGCAGGAGAAGCAGACGAAAGAGGCTTTTACTCGGAAGCAGCAGAAATGCCGGAAGCGAAATCCCGATGAGGAGAGTCAGGAAGCCCCGGAGCTGCTGAAGAGACCCCGGGAATACACAGTTAAATTCACCTTCCCCAACCCCCCCCCACTTAGCCCCCCCATCCTCGGCCTGCACGGTGAGCTCACTTGTTGAGAGAGAGAGGCGGAGAGAGACGGGGGGTAGAGAGGGAGGGAGTGAGGCGAAGGCGGGGGGCAGTGAGAGGGAGAGAGAGGGGAGGAGAGGGCGGGAAAGGGTAGGGACGGAGAGGGGGGGGGCGGTGAGGGGTAGAGGGAGTGTGTGAAAGTGGGTGGGCTGCAGTGTGTGTTTAGCCTGTACTCATTGTGTCTATGTTACAGGCTGTGTGTGTGTGTGTGTTGGGGGTGTGTGTGTGTTGGGGGTGTGTGTGTGTGTTGGGGGGGTGTGTGTGTGTGTTGGGGTGTGTGTGTGTGTTGGGGGGGGTGTGTGTGTTGGGAGTGTGTCCTCACTGTGTCTCTGTGTGTATCAGGTGTGGACTTTGCTTACGGTGGACAGAAACCAATCTTCACCAACTTGGACTTCGGGATTGACATGGATTCCAGAAGTGAGCGTCACTCTGTGTGTGTGTGTGTCTCTGTGTGTGTGTGTGTGTGTGTGTGTGGGTGTTTTTGTGAGGAGTCTCCTCGTAGTGTAGTGGTCAGAGGCCTCGCAAGCGAGAGGACCGGGGATCGATTCCCGGGCGGGTCAGGTCGGGGCGAAACTTTGGGCAAGTTTCCTTACTCCCTGCACAGATACAGACACACAGACACACAGAGACACAGACAGAGACACACACGAGCCTCTGTTTACCGGCACTAAGTAGGAACTCGCTTGTTAGTCGATTGGTGGATCGCTTTCCGGGGCCAATAATCCCTCGAAACAACGATAATAGTGATAATAATTTGGCGACTCGACCCACGGCTGTTGGTGGGGACGTCGCTCGGGCGCCATCGGCTGCCGCGTTTCACCTACAAAACACACAGTCGCCACACTTTCCAGTGTATCCCGTGAAGCGCTTTGAGACGTCTCGACCACGCGATGAGGCGCTGTATCGAATGCCAGGATTATTATTATAATACCTCTGTTTGTCTCCCCCCTCTCTCTCTCTCTCTCTCTGTCTCTCTCTCTCTCTCCCCCCTTTCAGTCTGTATTGTGGGACCAAATGGCGTTGGGAAGAGTACTTTACTACTGTTACTGACGGGAAAACTGTGTCCGGTAAGTGAGAGGGTACCGGTGCTCACCCTCTGTGTCTATATCTTTTAGGAGCGGGAGGAGGCCATTCAGCCCCTCGAGCCTGTCCCGCCATTCTATTGAGGTCACGGCTGATCTGTACCTCAACCCCAATTACCTGCCTTTGCCCCGAATCCCTTGATACCCTGTAGCTCAGGGGTTAAGAGAGAGAGAGAGGACGTGGGTTCAATTCCCGGGCGGGTCAGGTCGGGGGGGAAATGTTGGGGCAAATTTCCTTACTCTTTGTCCCCGCCCCCCCCCCTCCCACACACACACGCACAGACACACACACACACACACACGCGCACACGTGGGGACGTCGCTGGGCGCGATCGGCTGCCGGGTTTCGCCCGCGAAACACGCGCACACAGTCACTACACTTGACAGTGCTTCCTGCAAAGAGGTTTTCAGACGTCTCGGGGACGCGATGGGGCGGTGGGTCGAACGCCAGGAATGTTGTTGTTGTTATTATTATCATTGTTCACCTCTTCCTGGAGCTGCAGGAAAGGGAGGAGGTGAATGTGAACGTTAATCTCTCTCTCCCCTCCTCTCTCTCTCCCTCCTCTCTCTCTCTCCCTCCCTCCTCTCTCTCTCTCTCCTCTCTCTCTTTATCTCATTCTCTTGTTTCAGACCGTGGGTGAGCAGAGGAAGAACCACAGGCTGGTAGGTGCCCGTCACTGAGACCTTCCTCCAAACCCCCGCCTCCCCTCCCCTCGTTTTTCCTCCCTCCCTTCCTCGTTTCCCCCCCCCCTTCCCTGTCCTGTCCCACCCCCCCGCGCGCGCTCTCTCTCTCTCGCTCGCATCAGACGCCCTGTAGCTCAGCGGTTAGACCCCTCGCCTCACGAGCGAGCGAGAGGGAGAGGACCCGGGCGGTTCGATTCCCGGGCGTGTCGAGTCGGGGCCGGAACGCGGGGGAAGGTTTCCTTACTCCCATCGCCGACACGTCCAGCGCCCGTGTAAGTGTGAGTTACCGTCCCTCTCTCTCTCCCTCTCTCCCCCTCTCTCGCTCCCCCTGACACGGATTCCCCCGGTGACCGCCGCAGAAAATCGGCTTCTTCAACCAGCAATACGCCGATCAGCTGAACATGGAGGAGACGGCCACCGAGTATCTGATGAGGAACTTTAACCTCCCGTATCAGGACAGTCGCAAGTGTCTGGGGAGATTCGGGCTGGAGAGCCACGCGCACACCATCCAGATCAGCAAACTGTCAGGTACCCCTCCTCTCCTCTCCTCTCTCTCACACTCACACCATCCAGATCAGCAAACTGTCAGGTACCCCTCCTCTCCCCTCCTCTCCTCTCTCTCACGCTCACACCGTCCAGATCAGCAAACTGTCAGGTACCCCTCCTCTCCTCTCTCTCACACTCACACCATCCAGATCAGCAAACTGTCAGGTACCCCTCCTCTCCTCCCCTCTCTCTCACACTCACACCGTCCAGATCAGCAAACTGTCAGGTACCCCTCCTCTCCTCTCCTCTCTCTCACACTCACACCATCCAGATCAGCAAACTGTCAGGTACCCCTCCTCTCCTCTCTCTCACACTCACACCATCCAGATCAGCAAACTGTCAGGTACCCCTCCTCTCCTCCCCTCTCTCTCACACTCACACCATCCAGAACAGCAAACTGTCAGGTACCCCTCCTCTCCTCCCCTCTCTCTCACACTCACACCATCCAGATCAGCAAACTGTCAGGTACCCCTCCTCTCCTCCCCTCTCTCTCACACTCACACCGTCCAGATCAGCAAACTGTCAGGTACCCCTCCTCTCCTCCCCTCTCTCTCACACTCACACCGTCCAGATCAGCAAACTGTCAGGTACCCCTCCTCTCCTCTCTCTCACACTCACACCGTCCAGATCAGCAAACTGTCAGGTACCCCTCCCCTCTCCCTCACCGCCTCTCTTGGTCTATAGTCCAGCGCTCTGGGATACTCCCAACATGAGGGCGCTGTGTATGTGATCTCTCTCTGGTCACTAACCCCCCCTCCCTCCCCCCACAGGTGGACAGAAAGCCCGAGTGGTGTTTGCGGAGCTGTCCTGCCGACAGCCAGACGTGCTGATTCTGGTGAGTAGCCGGTGGGGGGAGGGGAGGGTAACACGTTCCCAGGACCCTCCTCCATCGACCAACTGCATCTTCGGCCACCCTCCTACTCCCACCCTCCACCCCCTCCTGATCCCCAACCCCTGGCTCGGGTCCAAATCGCTGACTGTCCAGCGCCCGGGGACGTCCTCCTGACGTGAGAGGCTCCGGCTAGACCAGTGCTGGCGGTACCGGCTGGTCTCTGCGCTCACCTGTCTGTCTCTTGCCCTCTCGCAGGACGAACCCACAAACAATCTGGACATCGAATCCATCGACGCTTTAGCCGAAGCCATCAACGAGTACAAAGGAGGTCAGTGTGTGTGTGTGTGTCTCTGTTCCTCTCCTCTACAATCCCTTCAGGCCCCGACACCTCCCTCCCTCCCTCCCTCCCTCTCCCACCTGCTCTCCCCTCAGTCCAACCACCACCCAGTGCCTCTCCTCGACTGGTTCCTGCCTGTCCCTCGGTCCCTCCGTTCCAACCCTCGGTGGCTGCGCTTTCAGCCACTACACCCCGAAACTCTGGAACACTCTCCCTCAATCCCCTCCGTCTTGCCCCCCCCCCCACCGCCCCCTCCTTCCCCATCTTCAGGTCACGCCTGCAGACCCTTCTCTTCGACCTTGCCTGCGGTCACCTACCCCGAGCTCGGTGTCAAGCTCTCTCTCTCTCTCTCTTTTCCCCACCTCTCACCCCCACCTCCTCTCTCACGCTCTTCTCCCTCTGTCTCTCAGCGGCGATCGTCGTCAGTCATGACGCCCGGCTGATCACAGAGACTAACTGCCAGCTGTGGGTGGTGGAGGATTCCAGTGTCAGTCAGATTGACGGGCAGTTTGAAGACTACAAGCGCGAGGTGCTGGAGGCGCTGGGAGAGACCATCATGAACAAGCAGAAGGAGTAGCGAGACCCCACTCCACGCGCGGAACTCCCTCCTTCCCTCCCTCCCTCACGTGGAGAGCAAGAGACAGACAGACACAGACAGACAGACACAGACAGACACGATGTGGACCTTATTTATGATGATGTGAGGTGTTCATAAACTCTCGGAAAATTGCCAAAAAAAAATTATTTTCAGCAAACACAGATTCAACTTTTTTTTTTTTCCCGTCGGCTTCAGGAGTCGGGGAGGGGTTCGCTGCACTTCGGTCCCAGCGCGGTGATGAGCGTCAAGTGTTTAACTCCCAGATCCCCCCCACTCCCCCCCCCCCTCCGCTCAGCGGGCTCCGGCTGCTCCGCGTTCTCTCCCCCCCCCCCCACCCCACAGTCCCAACATCGGCAGTCGGTCGGGCCTTTATGGATTGAGTGATCAACTTATTCTTTTTAATCTATTAATTTATTAATATTGACGGCTTTATCGGCCCCCGGAAAAGCCATCGAAAGTCCGGGGTCCTACTTCCTGCTGGGTAAACAGGCGCGCGCGCTCGGGGGTGGGGGTGGGTGAGGGGGGGGGTTGTGCCCAAGGTTTCGCCCTGAGCTGACCCGCCAGGGAATCGAACCCGGGTCCTCTGTCGCTTGCGAGGTGAGGGCTTTTAACCGCTGAGCGACAGGGACTCCACAGTCTTGATTGGCAGCGTCTGCGCTGCTCTCCCGCTCGGCTTAGATGGGTCCTCCCAGCTCCGGCTTCAGGAAGTGTCGGTGCATTTTGCGGGCGCGTGCGACCTCCTTTTCGGGGGGCTCCTGCCACTGATACCAGCTGTACCAGGGCCCGGTGAGCTGTGGGGGGCGCGGCGTCTTGCCCACCGCCCCGTGTGTGTTACTGTAATCCTCCGACCTCACCTGCTCTCGGTGAACCTCAAATCCCAACAGACCTGCAACACACACAGTCAGTCAGTCAGTCACTCACACTGTGTACCCCCCCATCACCCCCAGCCCTCGCCAGGCCCCCCCTCACACACTGACCCCTGTACCCCATCACCCCCAGCCCTCGCCAGGCTCCCCCTCACACACTAACCCCTGTCCCCTCGCCAGGCTCCCCCCTCACACACTGACCCCTGTACCCCATCACCCCCAGCCCTCGCCAGGCTCCCCCTCACACACTAACCCCTGTACCCCCATCACCCCCAGCCCTCGCCAGGCTCCCCCTCACACACTAACCCCTGTACCCCATCACCCCAGCCCTCGCCAGGCTCCCCCTCACACACTAACCCCTGTACCCCATCACCCCAGCCCTCGCCAGGCTCCCCCTCACACACTAACCCCTGTCCCCCCATCACCCCCAGCCCTCGCCAGACTCCGCTGCCTCCCTCTCGCACGCACTAAACTCTTCGGCAGCGCTTACGGTCACCTCCTCCCTCCCTCCCTCCCTCCCCGGCTCCGAGGTGCTGCCCCGCGTGAAGGGCGACGCGGGAAGGAGTGGCTCTCACCGTGATCCTTGGCTTCCTGGACGGCTTTGGTAAGATTCTTAAACTGCTTCATGCACACTCCTGAACCAAACCAGAAGAGGTTAGTGCCGTGACAGACCGCGACGTGCACCACCATTTACCCCCCACCCCCCCCCACACCCACCCACCCCCGAACTCTGCCTCTCGTGTCCTCGCCCACACATCCGCGGATCACCCCCTGCCCCTCCCACCCCCGCCCTCTCCCGCTTCGCCTCGCTCCCGGTGGATCGAGTTCAAGATCCTCGCATTTAAATCCCTCCACGGCCTCACCCCGCCCTTCCCTGTGCTTCGTAACCCCGTTGCCCCCTTCCCGTCCGAGCGCTGGCCCGTTTGAATGTCCCCCCCACCCCCACCCCACCCTTCCCGCTCCCTCTGCACCCCCTCCCCTCAGCAGCCATGAAGTAACGGCTGGCTTACCCGTTCTGGTGGGGTCGTACATCTGGCCGGTGTGCGGGGAAATAAACTGCTCCAGGAGTTTCACGTTCTGCAGTGAAAAGAGACGGAGACGTGAAGAGTGTAAGCAGCACCGGTCATTACCCCCTCCACCCCGCCCCCCCCCCCCCACACCCACCCCGCCCTCAGCACTGTAACACAGCACACACTCACCCTATAATCCACGTGAATCTTCGGGTCTCGGCAGATGGGGCAGGGATTGCCGGAGACCTTATCCCCTCGCTGCGGAAGGACAGGGAAGGTTATAACGGCCGCCCGCTTTCTCTTTCTCTCTCCTCTCCCCCCACCCGCCCCCTCCCTCGATCTCCTCGTACTCAAACGTCCCTCTGATCGGTCCCGTCCCCAACGAGACTGCGACCAGGAGAGAGACCGACTCACACAGAGCGGGTAACAGAACGCGCGCTCGACAACTTGCGCTTAACAATAATAATAATAATATTTGACCCAACGCCTTACCACGTCTCCGACACGTCTTAAAGCGCTTCACTGTCAAGTGTAGCGACCGTATTTTTTTTCCCGAGGCACCATCTCAAGACCCTCCTCTCCGTCCGCCCATCCGGTCACCTTCCTACCCCCCCCCCCCACCCGATCCCAATCCCCCAGCCCAGGGCCAACCCCCCGACTGTCCAGCGCCCTGGGACGTCCTCCCGACGTGACACAGGGTCTGCGGTGTAAATGTCAATGTAATGTGTTGTTGTCGTCGTCGTCGAGGGGGGAGTGGGGGCGGACTCACGATGCAGGTTTTCCTGGTTCTCTGGGGGGGGACACTGCCCTTGTGGTTCCTGCGATAGTCGGCCCACACCGGACGCTGCCCGTAACGTTCAATATACTCTGCGGAGAGAGAGAGAGAGAGAGTGCAGTCAGTCCCGAGCAAACCATTGCCAACTGCGGTGCGATGGCACTCGCTCTGCCCCCACCACCCCCTCCCCGTTCTCCCATCCACCCCCCGCACCTCCCAGTCCTGTCCCTGCCGGTGCTCGCTCCCCCCCACACTGTCCCTCCCTACTCTAACCCCATTCCCCTGCTCTCTCTCTCTCTCTCTCTCTCTCCCCATTGACGCTCTCTACTCTTGACCCCATTCCCCTGCTCTCTCTCTCCCCTGACCCCCCCCAATCGTGTCCTTGTCGGTGCTCTCTCCCCCCCACACTGTCCCTCCCTACTCTACCCCCATTCCCCTGCTCTCTCTCTCTCTCTCTCCCCATTGACGCTCTCTACTCTTGACCCCATTCCCCTGCTCTCTCTCTCTCTCTCTCTCTCCCCATTGACGCTCTCTACTCTTGACCCCATTCCCCTGCTCTCTCTCTCTCTCCCCATTGACGCTCTCTACTCTTGACCCCATTCCCCTGCTCTCTCTCTCTCTCTCTCGCTCTCTCCCCCGACCCCCCCCCCCCCCCCCGGCCGTGTCCGCGCTGCCGCTCACGTACCCTCTGTCTCCGGGTATTCCCAGGGCTGCTCCTTGTACCGGGAGATCGTGTCGAACCCGGTCTGGTCGGCCGCGGTGCTGAACGGGGGGTAAACCAACCTCCGCCCGGACCATCGCTGAGCCGCGCTCTGTCGAGACACGGAGGGGGCAGAGGCGGTCAGAGCCCTCGCAGCCCCCCCCCCCACCCTCCCGCCACCCCCACCCCCCGAGTGAGGGGGGACCCGGGTTCGGTTCCCGGGCGGGTCAGGACAGGGCGCAAGTTTCCTTACTCCACACGGACGGACACACACAGACACACACAGAGAGACAGACACACACAGAGAGACAGACACACACAGACACACCCACACACACACAGAGACAGACACAGACAGACACAGAGACACACAGACACAGAGACAGACACACACAGGGAGACAGACATACACAGACACACCCACACACACACACAGAGACAGACACAGAGACAGACACACACAGAGAGACAGACACACACACAGAGACAGACACACACAGACACACACACACACAGACACACACACACACACACACACAGACAGACACACACACAGACACACACACACACAGAGACAGACAGACAGACACACACACACACAGACACACACACACAGACACACACACACACACACACAGACGCGCACACACCGGGGGATCGCTTTTTCACGGGGGGGTAAATAATCCCTTCAATAAATAATAATAATAATAATAATAACGTCGTCGCTCGATCCGCGCGGCCGTCTGTGGGGACGTCGCTGAGCGCGTTTCGCCCACAAAACACCCGCACAGTCACTACACCGGGGGGGGGGGGGGGCAGACAGTCACTACACCAGGGAGGGGGTGGGGGCAGAGTCACTACACCAGGGGGGAGGGGGCAGACAGTCACTACACCAGGGGGGGGGCAGACAGTCACTACACCAGGGGGGGGGAGGGGGCAGACAGTCACTACACCAGGGGGGGGGTGGGGGCAGAGTCACTACACCAGGGGGGGAGGGGCAGACAGTCACTACACCAGGGGGGGGGCAGAGTCACTACACCAGGGGGGGAGGGGGCAGACAGTCACTACACCGGGGGGGGAGGCAGTGTTTACCTGTGACCGAGCGGCCGCCGCACACAACCGCCGGAGAGCGGCCGCCGCCATCTTCTCGCCAACCGCCCCGACCACGTGACATGACGTGCCTCACCCCCCCCCAACACGTGACGTGTCTCACCCCCCCCAACACGTGTCGTGTCTCACCCCCCCAACACGTGACGTGCCTCACCCCCCTCAGCACGTGACGTATCTCACCCCCCCTCAACACGTGACGTACCTCACCCCCCTCAGCACGTGACGTATCCCACCCCCCCTCAACACGTGTCGTGTCTACCCCTCCCAATACACACACACACACACACACGAAGCCCCCCCCACCACGTGATGACCTTCCCACCCCCCCCCCCACCCTCGCTACGTCATGACCTTCCCACCCCCAACGCATGACGTGACCCCTCACCCACATGATACGGGGACTCGCCCCCCGACCGCAAGGAATAACCGTCTTCGAAAATAAACCGCGGCTCTCAGGGCGGCGGCGCCTCAGCCCAACCCTCCAGAGAGAGAGAGAGAGGGCAACGAGAGAGATACGGGGAGAGAGAGAGAGAGAGAGAGAGGGGGAAAGGGAGAGATGTGTAAAGACGCACAACATGTAGTTGACGTGAAGCCGAGGGGAGGCTGGTCACGTGTGAGGGGGTGGGGGGGGGGGAAGAGGCTGGTCACGTGTGAGGGGGGGGGGGGGGGGAAGAGGCTGGTCACGTGTGAGGGGGCGCGGCGCGCGGCGCCCGGTCACGTGCGCGGGAAAGCGAAACCGGGCTGCGCGCGCAGGCCCGCGACGTCAGCGCTGCGCGCGCGCGCGCGGGCGGGACGAGGCAGAGGAAGGTGAGGAAGAAGCGAGGAAGGCGGAGGTGAAGCGAAGGTCACACCGCCCTTCGCCGGGCGCCATCTTGTCTGCCCCGTTCGACGCCGAGAAAGTCTCAATAAAACGGCAATAAAAGCCGCCGCCGCGAGGAGAATCAGAGGTCGATGATGATGGGGGGGGGAAGAGGAACAAACTTGTTATATATATATATATATAGAGGGAGAGGGGAGAGAGATTAAATGGTTGTAAAGACGCCATTGCGAGTGCGTGTTGATCGGGGGGGGGGGGCGCGCGGGGGGGGGAGGGCACCCGCTCGACCAATCAGATTCAAAGGCCCAACGGCCGCGGCCACGTGACGCGCGGGCGGATTGTGACGTCCGCGGCGCGGCTATAAAGACGCGGGGGCGGGCGCCGCCCGTCAGTCCAGCGTCTGGGTTGAGGTACGTGAGGGAGTCGGTGTCGTCGTCGCCGCCGCCGCCATTTTAATGGGGTCGACGAGGCTTTTATTATACACAGAGACAGACACAGACAGAGAGAGAGAGAGAGGAACAAAAGAACGATTCAATCCGACGTTTATTTATTTATTTTTATTGTTTTGTTTTTTTTTCAACTCTTTTATTTGTGTCCGTCGTTCGACCCCTCCCTTTTTTTTTGTGGGGGGGGACAAACTTCCTCCCTCTCTCCCCCCTTTTCTCTTCCTCCTCCTCCTCATCATCATCGACATGGATTTCATTCACTTCCACCCCAACCACCACCCCCCCCCCCCCCAAAAAAAAAAAATTTTTTTGGGTGGTGGGGGGTTATGTAGGGGGAAGGGGGGCGTTTAATTGGAAGGGGTGGGGGTGGGGGGGGGGAGAAGAAAAGGATTTTTTAAAGTAAAATCCACCTTTTTTTTTGGTGGGAGGGGGGGGGGGGGAGAGGAGGAGATTCTTTTTAAAAAAAGATGAAAGGTTTTTTGTTGGTTTACTTTCCTGACAGATTTGGGGGATTTTTTTTTGGTGGTGGGGGGGGGGAGTGGTGGTTTATTCGAGATTTTTTTTCACTGGGGAGGGGGGGGGGGATTTCGTCTTGATTTTCGACGAAAAAAAAAGTGGGGGGAAGGAGGTGTTTTTCTTTACAGAAGTAGGGCTTTTTTTGTGGCATTGATGTGTGTTATGGGGTGGGGGTGGGGGGGGGGGCAGAGGGAGGGGGTGGTGGGGGCTGATTTATTAATCGTTTTGAGAAAGGAGTGTGTGTGTTAATGTTTCTCTTTTTGGCTGTAAATGTATTTGAAATGTGTTTTTTTTTAATTTAATCTGATTGGTTAACCCTTGTTTTTTTTCTTCTCTTTTTTGTTTCCTCTCTCTTCCCCCCCCCCCTCTCCTCTCATTTCCCCCCCCACTCCTCTCCTCTCTTTCCTCCCTTGCAGGTTTATTCGCTGAAGACGACAGGAATATTGGAGCTAGAGAGAGAGAGAGAGAAAGAAAGAAAGAAAGAAAGAGAGAAAGAGAGAGAGAGAGAGAGGACAAACTACTAAAAGCTGCCCCCACCCCCCAAAAAAAGCCTCCCAGAAAAATCGAGATTGCGAGAGAAAAACTCAGAGACAAGCCTGCACCTCAAATCCCTTCTCTATATCTATATATCGATATATATATATTGTTCCTTTTTTTTATGGTTTACGATCATAACGTTTCCTCCCTCCTCCCCCTCTTTACGATTAATTTATTTATTTAATATAACCAGATAAATATATCTATATATATACAAGGAATATTTTTGGAGGGTGATAGAGGTGCGTCTAGAGGAGAGAAAAAAAAAGGAAGGGATGTCAAAAGGATAGGCGAGCGAGAGAAGGGATTAAAAAAGAAACATCCTGCTTCAAATAATACTATACGTATATATATATATATAATTTGCCAAAACATTTAATAACGGTGTGAGAGAGAGAGAGAGAGAAGAGGATTGTGTTTTGCGGAAAGAAAAAAAAAGGAGTGAATTCTTAAGCTATCTTTATCTATATATATATATATAAAAAAAAACGCTCCTTTTTTGGTTTTTTTTTAAAAGGGAAAAAAAATATTTTTTCAAGCCGAGAAGGAGGGCGGGAGGGAGGGAGGGGGGGTGGTGGTGTGCGGTGCGGGTGGGGCAATGACACGAGAATCTCTCTGAACCGAAAAAAAAACAAATCCAGCCCTCACCTACCTACTACCTCCCTCGCAGGCTTTTTGCCCGCACCATTTTGTCTTTTGTGTTTTTCACATAACAAACACAGTGGAGGGGCGTTGAAGGAAAAGTCGATAGTAAGTTTTGCTTTTTAAAGAGCCCAAAAAAAAAACCGTGGGGAGGAGGTTGGGGTGGAGGAGGGTGGGGGGGGGAGCGAGAGAGAAAAGGGGTCTTGATCCTATTTTATTTTGGTGGGGGGGGACGGGGGGGGACTGTTTCGGATCTGAAACCAGAGGAAATGAGCGTCTTAAAACGGCTTTTTTTTCCGGGTGGGCGGGGGAAAAAATTGGGGGGGGGGGAAATTTGTGATTTTCTTTCGCGACTGGGGGGCCGAACGAGCGTCTCCAGTCGCGCTTTTTTTTAAAAGAAAGAAGAGAGAGAGAGGAGAGGAAAAAAAAAGGATGAAATGAGCTTTTTTTTTAAAAAAAAAGGCCTGGATGAGCATTCTGGTGGTAATTTTGAGCAAATCGGCAATATTCTGGCTTTTATCGTGTGTGTGTGTGTGGGGGGGGGTGGGGGATGAGGGGGGGGAAAAAAAACTGGGCAGAGACCAAGATGGCTTTTCAATCATGAGCTCACACACGGAAGCAAAAAAAATAATTCCTCCCAGATAATAAACTGGCCTTGTTCTGCGTGTGTGTGTGTGTGTGTGTGTGTGAGACGGAGACTGGCAGACAAGGGGGAGAGGAACAGGTTAATGTGGGGAGGGAGGGAGGGGCAACTTTATATACCGTGCGAGTGTTGGGACAGATCATCATCATATATATATATATATATATATATAGGTATATCTAATGTGTGTGTGTGTGACCGAGATCTTTATAAATCATGTATGGAGAGACGTATATATTATAAATCTGTGAGTGTGTGTGTGTGAGAGAGATCTTTATGAATCGTGGAAGGGAGAGAGGAAATGTCTGTATAACTGTGTGTGTGTGTGTGTGGGGAGAAAGGTTGTAATGTGTGTGTATGTTTGTATGGGGTTGGGGGGGGGTTTATATAACGTGTGTGTCTGTGTGTGTGAAAGAGAGGTCTATAATGTGTGTATGTGGGGGGGGGGGGGGAGGTCTATGATGTGTGTGTGTATGTATAGCGTGTGTGGGGGGGGGGGGGGGTTGTGGGGAGACGGGTCTGTAGTGCGAGAGAGAAACCGCTATAACGTGGTGGGAGGGGAGCCATGTGGGGGGTGAGGGGGTGGGGGGGGGGGGGTGCAGAGAGAGAGTGCCATATAAATTCGTGTTGGGGAAAGGGATCCTATTACAGCGATGGCGAGGAACGACCGTAGCAATTTATTTGGGGGGGGGTGTGCGATTACATTAAATCTTAATATAAGTTCGTGCTGAGGGGAGAGGGCTTTGTACGGTTGGAGGAGAGGTGTTGGATGGAGAGACGATAGTTTTATCGAGGGTGGGGGGCGGGGGGGGGGGAGAGAGAGATCTGGACAGTAGAGCAGGGAGAGGTGGTAGTATTTTGTTGGGTGGGGTGGGGGGGGGGAGAGCTATTAAATGACAGTGTTAATGAGTGAGGGGAGAGTACACGGGGAGGGAGGGAGGGTGGGTGGGTGGGAGAGGGGCGGGTGGGCGTGTGCAATCTGTAAATAAAGATTGCAGCCCGTCGTGCCCCCCCCTCACCCCCCACCCTCTCTCCCTCTTCCCCTCCCCTCTTTGTGGCTCTCTTTGTCTGCGAAGTAAAATGGCTGCAGTCTTAAAAAAAAGTGCTTCGTAAAATGGCAGCTCTTCATCTGCCGCCCCCACCCCCCCCCCCACCCCGACACTGACTTGACTGACTACAGGTGACACTTAACAGCTCCTCCTCTCTTTTTCTCCCTCCCTCCCTCCCCTGTGTCAGTCATCTCTCGGTGGGGTGGGGGGGGGGCGGGTGTGGTAATTATAGAATTATTATTATAAACGGTCCCCGGACTCTTGAATTATTCGGGTTGCTTTTTTGGGGGGGATTTTAGTTTGCTTTCGGCCCCCTCACCCCCCCCACCCCACATCGTCTGTCTGTCTGTCCGTGCCCACCCCCCCCCCCCCCTCCCTCGCCCCCCATTCTCTTATTACCCACCCTGATTTTCTAGCCCGACTCGTTCTCTGTGATCCAACCCCCCCCCCAACCCCTCTCTCTCTTACCCCGCTCCCCCGTCCCCTCTTGCCAGGCTCCCCCCCCACCCCCCCCCCCCCATTCTCCCCCTCCTTAAACCCTCTTTTAACACCGCCATCACTCCTAGCTTCTCCCCCCCCCCCTTCTTATTCCCCTCCCTCTCACCACCCCCACTCATTTGCTCCCCTCTGATCCTATCCCACCCCCCGCACCCCCCGCCCGCCTTGCCCCATGCCCCCCTTACCCCACGCCCACCCGTGCCCATTCACGTCGCCTCTTTCCCGATTGACCCCCCCCGCGGCCCGCCCACCCCCCCCCAGAGAGGAGGATTTTTTTTTGTGGGTGGAAGCTGTTAACAATTATTTGAATCGCCGACTTGGAATCCAGTCTCGTCCCATCAGATCTCCCGCCCGTTCAGAGCGATCACGATTAACGTGGGTCGGGTGGTGGGGGGGTTTTTTTTTTTTTGGAGGGGAGGTGGGGGGGAAATGGGGTTAAGAGAGGCTGACGGGGGTGCACCCGAATTATTTCGTTGTGATACTTAAATAGTCATCTTTCTCACTTGCCCCCCAACCTCCCTCCGACTCGCATCCCCTTTCCTCTGGGGTGGGGGGGGGGGGGGGGGGGGGGCAACCAGGTTCCCTTGAGCGCCTCTGACAATAATATTCTTGCGTCCGACGTAGCACCTAAGCGCGTGGTGGAGGCGTCCCAACGCGATCCGCGGGATGTATACTGTGAGGCGTAGCGGCCGCGCGTTGCGGTTTTGTGCCTTTTCGTTCACACCGTCAGCACTGTGCTCTTTTCTTTCACTGCGTAGGGGGGGAGAGGGGGGGGGGGGGGTGTCGATTTACCTCGTCCGACTTCCATTTTGGGGGGCGGTGGGTGGGGGGGGATTCATTCTCTCTCTCTTCCCCCCTTCTCCGCGAAGCGTAGCTGCGAAGCTCCACCGAGAACGTCGCCGCAGCGCTTCTCGGAGAGGGGGAGAGAGAGGGGGACTTGTCGCAGCTGCGTAACTTGTTTTTTTTTCGACAGGGAAACGTGCCTTCTCGCGCGGACCTGACTCTCAGCGTCGCGCAGTAGTTGAGTGGTGGGGTGGGGGGTGGGGGGGGTATTTTTTTTTTTTGTCTTCCTTTTTTTTTTACCGCAGGGACGGCCACACTCAACCGGTAAGCAAACCTTTCTGCCGTTAAATCGCGTGTCGCAAAGAGCTCATTGCCGTCTTGAGACCCCGGCGCGTAGATTGCCTTCTCGGCCCCCGGCGGCGGGTCGGACACGCGAAGCAGAGCGCGGGGTAGCGTCCGTTTTATACCGACCGGCCGTTGGCGCCTCCGCAGCCCCCCCCCACCCACCCCACCCCCCCCCCCGCCCGCCCGGCTCATCCCTATCTATCGTCGGCGGTCGGGCCTTCAGCCTCTCTGCCCCCCGTTCGTTGGAACTCCACCCCGCAGTCCCTTCTCCACGCTCCCCCCCCCCCCCCCCCCCATGCCTCCTTCGAGGCCCATCCTCTCTTCGCCCGGGCCCTTCAGTCGCTCTCCTTCCCCCGCCCTCCACCCCTCCAGATCCCAAACAACCCCCCCCCCCCCCCCCGCCGCCCCCAGCTCTGGTCCAAATCCCTGACTGTCCGGCCGGCGCCTTGGGGACGTCCTCCCGATGCGAAAAGCGCTGTGTAGATTCGTTGTGTCCGAGTGGACCTTTCGTCCTGCTCTCTGGCTTGGCTTGGCCTCCATCGCTCAGCTGAACCCCTTTTGAAGGGGGTGCAGACTAGAGGTTCGCTCCCCTTTAGGATTGCTTGGCAGCTCGCAATTACCCCCCACCCCCCCCCCGGCACCCCCACCCCAATATGTAGGCCGCATGGTCCTGGCTGGACAAGCAACAGCGGGCTAGCTGGGCTTCTCTCGATGAGCCAAGCTCTAGCAGTTACTCCCCACGCACAACATACACTCTTCCCCCCCACCGCCGCCTCCCTCTCGCCAACTTGTGCCTACTCCTCTCGGGGGGGGGGGGGTAATGTGTGATTTGGAGACCCTTAAGCCAAGTTGTTTGTCTAGTTTGGGGGGGGGGGGGGGGGGTGTGGGGGATTGCTGTTTACCAGCCCATAGAAAAGCGGTCCAACGGAAGGATGTGGGGAGTGGTCGGCGGGGGGTGGGGGGGGTAAGGAGTTAGGCTTTGTCTCGCTGGGAGGGTCAAGGGGTGGGGGCTTGAAGCAGTTACCAATATTATTTTAGACATCCTATTTGTGTACAGGGAGAGACAGACAGACAGACAGACAGACACAGGTCACGTGTAAGAGCCTTAACACTTAGTACCTTTTGGAAAGCCGCACATTGAAGGAAGCGCTTGGGACTTTGTGAGTATTTGACTGGCAACTCAACACCCAGCGTTCTGAGTCAGTTTTCTCTTCCCTCTCTCACTGTCTCTTTTCTCTCCCACCCCCCCCCGCACCCCACCCACCCACCATTCGCTCTCCAAGCCTGGTCCATCTTGGTCGTAACTTAACAATGATCATTATCCTCGCGTTTGCTATAGCGCCGCCTTATCACGTCGTCGAGACGCCTCGAATATAATCGTAAAGCGCAGTGACCGACTATATATTCTGATTAATACTGTTAATTGCCGAACTTGCGTTCGGAACGAGTTGCAGGGACGCGTTACTCGGTGCGCTCACTCGCGCCCTTCCCCGCACCCCCCCACCCCCTATTATATATCAGTAGTAGTCCTTGCATTTGATCCGGCGCTCTTCACATCAGGAAGATGTCTTCAAAACGCTTGACAGGATTTTACCGCGTAAAGTGTAGTGACTTGTTGGCCTGAGGGGTGGTGAGGGGAGGTCTGACCCCATCAGAGTAATGGCTGTGTGTGTGTGTGTGTGTGTGTGTGTCCACTTTCCAGAAGCCACAGAATGGCCTCTGTGCTCTGAATGACATTAGATTTAAGCAGTTGATCAGTTGGTTCCTCAATGGCCCCGTGTCTCTCCTGTGGGTAAGTTATCTTTCTGAGGGGGGCGGTGGGTGGTGGGGGGGGGGGGGTGTGTGGGCGGTGGTTACATTGGCAGATGTATTAAGAGGCGTAAGTCAATTAAACGGCGACGTTCACGTCGGGAGATGTCCTGAGGCGCCGGACAGTCGAGGATTTGCACCCGAGTTGGGTATCAGAGAGGGGTGGAGGGCAGAAGGACAATCCTTGTGTTCGAAATATCGCCTTATCCGCGTCTTTGAGGGGTGTCTCGAAGCGCTCCACGGGGCGCACCGTAAAAGTGCCGCGACTGTATTTTGCGGGCGACGGGCGCCCGGCGACGTCCCACAAACCGTGGTGCGCTGAGTTATTTTTGGAGGCCTCGTTGCCCCCCGAGGAAGCGATCCGCCAATCGACTTAACAACGGGGTTCCTGCTTACTGCTGTTTTATACAGTGTGATAGGCTTGAATCCGACGGCGGGAGGCGCGTGCGAATACAGTGCGTGACTCTGCGACGCGGGCGAAGGCATTCTCGGAGCTGTGTGTCTCGTCGGTAACGCGTACCAGCCGGTGCGATGAACAAGACGTCTCGGGGGCGCCTCGCGGAGAATACTGCAGAGCGTAGCGACCGTGCTTGTCTGGGTGACCGGTTCTGTCATCCTGTGCGGCGGTGGGCGAGGGGACGCGGGGTGGGGGGGTGGGGGGGGGGAAAGGGGAACGGACGCGTGAGCTGTAACGTTCAGCCCATACCAGGTTTCGAGACGCGTGTGGCATCTCACGCGTGTGCTGCGGTGCCCACACAGCGGGTGCGGTTTGCGCTCTTTGTCGGATGTGTAATCGGATCTGATTGTGAAGAGAGGAGGAGGGAACGCTAGTTAGTTAAACGAGTCTCGGTGTTGTATCGGGGACTGTTCGGGGTCCTGCCCCCTCCTTCGCTCCCCTCTGTGAAGCGAGTCGCGGGATTGTTCACACCCCCCCCCCCCCCCCCCCCCGATGGGTCTCAGTCCCTAAGGGGAGACGGTCGGACGGGCAGCACGATATCGCCGGCTGCTTCCCTCACTGTTACCGAAGCCAAAGTGTTTACGCCGTTAACCGGTACCGATAACCCTAATCCTTGCATTGATGCAGAGCCCTTATTACGTCGTCGACACGTCTCACAGATCTTCACAGGACGCACTGAAGTGCGGTGACTGTGCATTTTGTGGGCGAAACACGGCAGCCGGTTGCGCGCCGGTTGCGCGCAGCGACGACCCAGAAACGGTCGTGGATTTGAGTGACCACATTATTATTGTTTGTGTAGGGATTATAACCCCCCCACCCCCCCCCCCCACCCCCTAGAAAGCGATCCGCTGCCAAGCGGGTTTGCCTTTTGCTGCTCGGTCAACAGATCCGCGCGCGCGCGCGTGTGTGGAGTAAGGAAACCTGTCTAAGGTTTCGCCCCGACCCTCCCGGGCATCGAACCCGGGTCCTCTTGCTTCCGAGGCGAGTGCTCTAACCGCTGAGCTACCGCGGACTCCCGATGCCTGTAAGTCTCCGCCTGACAAGTTGGCGTTGCAGATCCCTGATGGCAATAGGAGGGCAGTGTCAATGGGACTGTAGGACACATCTGTGGCGGCAGCACATCAGTGCCCCCCCCCTCCCTCCCTCACCACAACGCCCCCCCCCCCCCCCCCCCAAACCCATTCGAACCCGGGAATAACCGGCAAACGGGACTGTCTTCGAGCCAAGAATAACTGGGAGACAAACGGCACAAATAAACAGTTCAAAAACCGCTTTGGGACGCGTCCTCCTGACGGCAACGTGAAGGTTGTTGATATGAACCATCCGCTCCGTGCTCATAACATCAGGGCACGCTGGTCGCACACCACACACTCCGTCCCTTGTCGTTGAGCCGACTCGCTGTAGGATCCGGCTGCACATACAGTATAAAGCCCTTTTGTTTGCGGCTGTTGATGTAGACGGAGCAGCAGCGGAGTTAGTTTTGAGTTAGGCCGGTTTGCTCTTGAGCTCTGCGTGCCGGTGAACTTGTAGGAATAAGGCTCGTTGTACTGGAGGTCGGTGTGCGTGCGAGTGAGCGAGCGAGTGAGTGAGTGAGTGGAGTGGGGTACTCAGCATAAGAGTACGCACGGGGGAGCTGAAAGGCTTCCAATAAACCTTTCACCGCGCGCGTTGGGTCGACAAATAACAATAATCCTACTCGCGTTTGCCGCAGTGCCTTGAGCCGTCTCCAAAGCGCTCGGCCGGGATACGCCGTACAATGTATTGACTTAAGCTTTGTGGGTGAAGCGCAGCGGCCAGTTTGCGCCCAGCGGTGTCCCGCGACCGGTCGTGGATCGAGCGACTTAATTCCTTGCGAAGGGGTCATTAGCTCCGGAAAAGCGGTCTGCCAACCGACTAACCAGCGGGTTCCTACTTACTGCTCGGTCAACAGAGGCGCGTGCGTGTGCGTGTGCGCGTGAGGAAGAAGCCCAAACTGTAATAGCTTACAGCAGACACCCCGACTTGGAGTAGGGCCGTGACTTATTGTTGGCTGTCGCGAGACATGGTTGAAAGCCAGACCTGTTCACCTGTTATGAGCTGATTATTTGCCAAATACACCAAAAGGAGTCTTGTTTTTTTTTTGGTCTCCTGTTGGGTCTTGCGGTTCGTTCCGGGGGGGTGGGGAGAGAGAGAGAGAGAGGTTGGACGTGACTTGACCATTTGATGTTATGCTTGTTGGTTTGTACTGACCCCCACCCACCCACCCACTCACCCTTCTCTCCTTTTGTAAGGTGGATGACAATGGGGTCGGGCCCTATAAATCCGAAAGAACTCCTGAAGGGGCTGGATTGCTTTCTCGGGAAAGACGGGGAGATTAAGAGCGAGGAGGACGTCATTCGGATATACAGGTAAACCTTGTGCCCGTCCAACGTGGAACACAGCGTGCGAGTTTGTTCCTCTCCTTCCTTTCTCCCCCTCCCCATCGCCCTGAGCCCCTCTGCCTAATAATTTTCGGAAAAGCAGGGGAGCAGGTCGCGGTCCCTTCGGGGAGAGCGGAGGTGGGATGCCCGGAGTTCTCGGTTGGGTTAGGGGACTCTTTAAGCACAGTGATGGGTCTCCGAGTGTGTCAAGACACCCGGCTGATCAACCAACTGCGTCCCCTGCTCTGCTGCCTGAAGACTTTGTCAAACCTCTCTCTGTCTCTCTCCCTCTCCCTCTCCCTCTTCCGCTCTCACACACATTCTCCCCTTTTTCGTTCGCAGTCTGATGAAGGAATCGAGGAAACTCGTGAGCAGATGCACTTATTTGAACATCATTCTGCAGACCAGATCCGAGGACATCTTGAATCGGTGAGCACATCTCCTCCCTATAGGGGGTCCGGCAGCTCAGTGCTGGTTTGCTCGCACCTGAGCTGACGTCTGACCCCCCCCCCCCTCTTCCCCTTTGTTTCCCCTCTGTCTCCTCAGGTTTATCGCGGTGGGGGGCTATAAGCTGCTAAACAGCTGGCTGGGCTATTCCAAGACCAACAACAACCTCCCTCTGCTCCAGCAAATCCTCCTGGCTCTACAGTTACTGCCTCTCACTGTCGACCACCTCAAGCAGGTAAGCCAAGCTCCCCCCACTCGCTGACCGTCCCGGTCCCTCGCTTCTGTCCGCCTCTCTTTCTCTCCCCACCCCCCTCACCCCAAACTCTGCTCCTCCACAGCTGTCAATACGTACAACACGGCTGTCAGTCAGGGATTAGGGGGGGAGAGAGAGAGAGAGAGGGAGTTGGGGAGAGGGAGAGGAGAGAGAGAGGGAGAGACCCACACACACACACGCGCAGAGCTGACCCCCACTTACCCGTGTCCATGGGCTCAGTGACCTCCTCGAGAGGGACGGGGGTCCCAGGCCCCTCCACCTCCATGGCCTCCTCCATCACCAGCTCGGGGGAGGCTGGCTTCGTGCTGCCCCGCTCCGGGCTGGCCTTCGGGTCAAACGGGTTACCCTGGGGGTTACAGAAAGATTACAGTAAACTACAACGTCACGGAGACTGGGTGGTGGTGGTGGTGGGGGGTGAGCGGAGAGAGAGAGAGAGAGAGAGAGACAGATGGAGAAGGGGAGAGAGAGAGAGAGACACAGAGAGAGAGAGAGAGAGAGAGAGAAACTCGAGGAGGAGGGAGAGGGAGTGAGAGATTGGGGACAAATGCTTAAGAAAGAAAAAAATAATCAGTGAGCGAGAGGAGGCAGACACAGACATGTAGGCACACACACACGCGCACACACACACACGAGCGCACACACACACGAGCGCACACACACACGCGCACACACACACGAGCGCACACACGCGCGCACACTCACACGCGCGCACACACACACGCGCGCACACACACACGAGCGCACCACACACACGCGCACACACACACGCGCACACACACCGCGCTCTCACCTTGTTGCTGGTGGGGGAGGTGACCTTCTTTTTCTTCTTGATCTTGGAGCCGTGGACAGGAGCCGAGTTCAGAGCCTCCAGGAAACCCGTGCTCTCGATCGCTGCGGGAAACAGGGGGGGAGGGGGGGGGGGCAGAGTCAGAGGGGATCCGAGCTAAGTGGTGAGGGGTGGGGGGAGTGAGAGGGAGGGAGCGCGGCGAGAGCGAAAGGGGAGGGGGGGCGAGGGAGGCCTGAGAGGAGCGAGGGGGGGTGGGGGTAGCCCAGGGTCCAGGGCAGTGCGGCAGAGAATCCTAGCGACAGGAGGGGGGGGGGGGGGGTGTCTCACCCCAACAAGGACATTGTCAGCCATCGCACCCGTGTGGTGTAGGGCAGGCATCCGTTTGCAGGGACGAGGCTGTGGGCAGATCACACACAGTCACTACAGCTCACAGCGAAGGCCCGCAAAGCGCTTTGAGACGTCCTCCCGATGTGCTTAGGGTACCAGATCGGAGGAGGAGGAGGAGGAGGAGGAAGCAGTGACTTGTAGTGCAGTGACCTGTACTGGGGTGTTGGGGGTGGGGGTGGGGGAGGAGAGACTCACGTTGCGGGGGGATGAGCTTGACTTTGATCTCCTTGGTCGAGTTAGGCGTCATGTTCAAGGGTTTGTATTTCTTCTCCACCGGTGCCAGAGAAAGAGAGTTTGCCATCGGGCTGTGGGGGGAAGAGAGGAAAGACGGACAGAGAGAGAGAGAAAGAGAGGGGGTGAGAGAGAGAGAGAGAGAGAGAGAAAGAGAGGGGGTGAGAGAGAGAGAGAGAGAGGGCGAAAGAAAACACAATTATATTAGTCAGACTTCACTCTATCTGTCAGCCTGGCGAGGGCTGGAGTGATGGGGTACGGGGTTAGTGTGTGCGATGGGAAGCCAATGGAGCCTGGAGAGGGCTGGGGTGATGGGGTACGGAGGTTAGTGTGTGTGAGGGGGAGCCAGTGGAGTCTGGCGAGGGCTGGGGTGATGGGGTACGGAGGTTAGTGTGTGTGAGGGGGAGCCTGGTGACACAGGGCTGGGGTGATGGAGGTTAGTGTGTGTGAGGGGGAGCCAGTGGAGCCTGGAGAGGGCTGGGGTGATGGGGTACGGAGGTTAGTGTGTGTGAGGGGGAGCCAGTGGAGCCTGGCGAGGGCTGGGGTGATGGGGGACGGGGTTTAGTGTGTGTGAGGGGGAGCCAGTGGAGCCTGGAGAGGGCTGGGGTGATGGGGTTAGTGTGTGTGAGGGGGAGCCAGTGGAGCCTGGAGAGGGCTGGAGTGATGGGGGTTAGTGTGTGTGAGGGGGAGCCAGTGGAGCCTGGAGAGGGCTGGAGTGATGGGGGTTAGTGTGTGTGAGGGGGAGCCAGTGGAGTCTGGTGACACAGGGCTGGGGTGATGGGGGGACGGGGTTTAGTGTGTGTGAGGGGGAGCCAGTGAGTCTGGTGACACAGGGCTGGGGTGGGTCGGGAGCTGAGTTTACCTCTGTCTCTTTACGGGCATCAGTTTGATGTTGTACTTGTCAGAGATCACGGGAGCAGGAAGCAGCTTTTTGGGCAGAATAGGTGTGGGCGTGTCCATCTCCAGGCCTGGGGGAGAGAGAGGGGGGGAGAGAGGGGGGGAAGAGAGAGGGGGGGGGGGACACAGTCAGTCACAAGGCAGGTCACAGTCAGTCACTAGGCAACGAGGTAAAACGGAAACAGCTTCTCTGATCTCTCTCACCCTCCGTGCCCCCTCCATCTCTCCCCTACACCCCCGATCCTCTCCCCCCACTCCACCCCCACCCCTCTCCCCTCCACCCCCTCCAACCTATTCCCTCCACCCATCACGATGAGAATAATAACAACCCTTGCATCCGACGCAGAGAGAGAGAGAGAGAGAGAGAGGGGGGAGGAGAAAAACTCGCACCTCTTGTCGAACAGCACCGCGGCGGGAGATCTTTTAACAGCCCTCCCAACCGCGCACACACACACGCCACAAACGCACACTCCCGCGCGCGGGCGCGCGCGCACGCACGCGCCACCTTCTCACACGCACCTGTAGACCTGAACTTGGCGTGGCTGGGGGCTGTCGTCCTTTGGGATTTGGGTTTCTCCCGTTTCTTCTCGAGAACATCCTCCAGTTTGGGCTCCGGCCGCAAGTCACACTTTGGCTCTGGGACTCTCTCGGACACGGGGGCTCGGACTTTCCCCTCCTCCTTTCTCTCCTCTTTCCTTCTCTTCTTCTCCACCGGCTTCTCTGTGATGCGAGAGAGGGGGAGAGAGAGAGAGAGAGAGAGAGAGTCAGATCTGGGCTGTCTTTGTTTGTTTGGCCATCCGGGTGTCTTGACACACACACGGAAACCCGTCACCGCGATCAGCCAATTGCCCACAGCAGTGTCCCACAAACAGTCGTGGATTGAGTGACAATGTCTTTATTTTGAGGGACTGTAACCCCCGGAAATAACCCCCACCCCATCACAACGTACCTGGAGGGACACCGGCACCGGTGCTCTGAGAGCGAATCACTGTCATCCAGTGGTTCACTAAGACGTGAGCGAGTTTCCTCAGCCCTGAGAGAGAGAGAGAGGAGAGAGAGAGAGAGAGAGAGAGTGTGAGGCTAAACCCAACTCTGTTACACAGAGGGACAAACATACACACAATTTTTGTAACGTGAGAAATAAAGGTGAGGTCAGAACCGCACTGCAAAGTGCTTCTCGTTTTTTTTCTCTCCCCCCTGTGAAGTGCAGTGACTGTGCGATTGGTGGGTGGCGATGGCCCCGCCAACAGGCGTACAGTGAACAACCAATTTTGTCTTGGGGAGGGGGAACAGGCGTCAGGATGCACAGTAATGATTCCGTGAGCTGAGGATTCCCTTTTGGCCTTTCCCCCCCCCACCCCCCCCCCCCACACGCAGACCACAGACAGCGAACGGCAGTCGTACCTTCGTCATCGCAGGTCTTACTCAGTTGCTTGACGATCTTCGCCGTGTTGTTCTGTAACGGGAGCCGGGGAGACACAGTGAGGACAGCGGCAACACGTGACATTTACGCAGAGCCTTGCACGCCCAGTGCGCTGGACAGTCAGGGATTTGGACCCGAGCTGGGGGGTTGGGATCAGGAGGTGGGGGGGGGGGGGGTGGGGTTGGGGCTAGGAGGATGACTGAAGGCCTAACCACCAGTGGTGGGTGGGTGAGGCGGGGGGCGTGAAGCAGGCCGGACAGGGTGGAGGTCACAGAGGGAGGAAGGAGGGAGAACGGACACTGGCTGGTGTCGGGGGGGGGGTCTCCTCTCCTTCAAGGACCCGACTCAAGACCCTCCTCTCCCACCATCCACGCCTTCGGTCACCCCTCCCGCCCCCAACCACCGCAGCAAATTACATTTAATGTCAGGAGGACGTCGCAAGGGCTGAAAGGGGTGGCGGGGGAGTGGGGGGAGTGGGGAATGTGGTGGGGGGAGATGGTGGGGGGTCAGCGTGTCACTCTGTCTCTCGTGTGGTTCAGTGTTTCAGAGAAGACGGCGTCGGAGGCGAGGGAGGAGAGCAGCCCTTGGCCCTGAGCAACTGCTGGGGGTGTGCGAGACTCTGACACAAGGCAAAGGTACCTCCCTCACTCCCCCCTCACTCCCCTCTCCTCCCTTACGCTCTCTTTCTCTTGCTCTCTCCCTTGTTTTCTCTCTCTCACGTTCTCTCTCTCTCTCTCTCTCTCTCTCTGGCCAGTTGACCTGAGCAGTTGGAGAGAGAAGATGGAGCGAGCCGCGGGGAGAGAGGGTCTGACGGACGAGGAGGAGGAAGAGGGGGATGACGAAGAGGCGGCGGTGGTGGTGGAGCATCAGACGGACACAGCCCTGGGGCCGAGCGAGGCGGGTCAGGAGCTATACAAGGACGGAATCCTCACCCTGGGCTGTGTAGGTGTGTGTCTGTGTGTGTGTGGGTCTGTGTGTGTGTGTGTCTGTGTGTGTGTGTGTATCTGTGTGTGTGTGTGTGTGGGTCTGTGTGTGTGTGGGTCTGTGTGTGTGTGGGTCTGTGTGTGTGTCTGTATATGTTTCTGCGTGTGTATCTGTGTCTCTGTTTCTGTGTGTGTGTGTCTGTGTGTGTCTCTGTGTGTCTGGGCGTGTGTGTGTCTCTCTGTGTGTCTCTGTGTGTGTGTGTGTGTCTGTCTGTGGTGGGGGGAGCAGACTGAGACCTCCCATGACTGAGCCGCCTCTCTCCCCCCACCCCCAGGGTTCCCCAACGTGGGCAAGTCCTCGCTAATTAACGGGCTGGTGGGCCGCAAGGTGGTGAGCGTGTCCCGGACCCCCGGACACACCAAGTACTTCCAGACGTACTTCCTGACGCCCACCGTCAAACTGTGTGACTGCCCCGGTCTCGCCTTCCCCTCTCTAGTCAACCGTCAACAGCAGGTCAGCCAGTCAGCAGGGTGTCACACACGCCACACACACGTAGACACACATACATATTAGACACACACGCCACACACATAGAGACACACACACACCACAAACACGTAGAGACACACACACACACACACACCTCACACACACAGACACACACACACACACCATACACATAGAGACGCACACCACCCACACACAGAGACACACACACCACACACACACACAGAGACACACACACCACACACATAGAGACACACACACACCACAAACACATAGAGACGCACACACACACACACACCTCACACACACAGACACACACCATACACATAGAGACGCACACCACCCACACACAGAGACACACACACCACACACACACACAGAGACACACACCACACGTAGACAGACACACACACACACACAGCAAAGGGTGTCCAATCGAGACCGCGCTCAACTGGTCTGTACCTCAAACCATTTCACATCCTCCCTCCCTCCCTCCCTCCCTCCCTCCGTCTCCCTTCCCACTTGCAGATTCTGTCTGGCATTTACCCGATTGCTCAGCTGCAGGAGCCCTACAGCTCTGTGGGGTACCTGGCGACGAGGATCCCTATTCCGGCGCTGCTCAACCTCTCAAACCCCAACGCCTCATCCGGGCAACCGCAAGCAGAGCAGCCGTGGACAGCCTGGGACATCTGCGAAGGTAACGGGGACAACAGTAAGGCAGAAGGTCGGTGGGGGGAGCGATCTGATTGAGGTATTTAAGATGATAAAGGGATTGGATCGGGTAGAGAGAGAGAGAGAGAGAGAGAGAGAAGCTGTTTCCTCTGGTGGTGGACGGAGGGCTTTCAAAACAAGGGGGGCATCGACTTAAAATTAGACCCCGGCCGTTTCAGGGTGAAATCCGGGAACATTTTTTCACTCAAGGTGGGGAGGGGGGGGGTTAGGAATCTGGAATTCTCACCCCCCCCCACCCCCCCCCAAAAGGGGCCGTGGACACCTTCCAGAGTGAGGTTGACGAGAGCTTCGGTCGGTCGGTCGAGGTATCGAGGGACGTGGGGGAGAAAGCAGGAAATTGGAATTGATGGGATGAGTTGAGCTGCGCGATCAGCCGGAGTCCAATTAAGTGGCAGAACAGGCTCGAAGGGCTGAATGGCCTCCTGTTCCGATGTTCCTAAGAACAACAGCGCACGGCGGGAGGAATTATTGTTACTCTCTCTCT